TGATCGTGATGCTGAATGTCTTTTTTTTTTTTAAAAAAAAAGTAATATACTAATATTGTTTTCTTAACTTTGACAAATGTATCATGATAATGTAAGATGTTAACATTAGAGAAAACTGGATAAACACACATATAGGAATTCTCTGTACCAACCTTATAATTTTTCTGTACATCTAAAAATTATTCCAAATTAAAGTTTATCTTTAAAAACATGCATGGTAAGTTCATGAACTAGTGAGTAAACGAATACCGCCAAAGCTGAGAATTTAGTTAGAAAGATAATGATAAATTAAGATGGACAGGTAGGTAAGTCCTAGATTGCAGAAGACTTTGAATGCCTGGCTAAAGGTTTCTGATTTAAGCCTGCAATTCATGTAGTGTCTTTGAAACTAGCCAAGCGATGAGGTGTTTGAAGGAGAATGGAGTCTTCAAATAGGTGGCCCAGAAAGTCTTATGTCACCATCAACATTGACTTCCATTTGTCTATTTCTAAAAACCACCACAAATGACAAGCTAACATATTCTTTTTCATATTTCCCTCAGTTATTAAAATGCTAATGTTCAATAAAAGTACCAGGTAATGGGAGAGAAGCAAACATTGTATCCCTACCCTCATGAATCATCGAGCCCTAAATAATGATGACTTGGTCTCACTCAATATCCATAGTGCTAGAAGCAGATCTTTCTCTAAGAAAAGTTAGTGTTGCAATGAACTTCCGCTTTTACTGTCAGCCAAGAACAGTCCCTTGAAGGATATTGCTTCACTGTAGGAAAATCATTTAAAGGACCCTCCAAGTTGAGAAAATGTAAGGCAAACAGTTTTTGCCTGAGAGTTTGTGTGTAGGTGTACGTGTCCAAAATGAGCATGTTTGTTGCTTAACCACATCCACATCTGCCTTTCCCCTTTGCATGCAACAGGGAGATTCATTATTGGGGTGTGCCGAGTTAGTCCAGTGGCAGGAAAAGATGCTAAGACAGACCAAACTAGGATTTATGAAGAAGACCTATGTGTTCCAGCATGTCATGAGGCTGGGATTGGGTTCTTTTCCAGCCTTGGCCCACCTGGATCAGTGCTAAGCATTGCAG